TATGGTAAAAGGATAATTCTGGACCCCCTTATTTTACCCCAACTGGAAGCAAAAATCCTCAAAAAAAATTTTGAGCCTATGTAAATAACTGCATTTCCATGAATAGTAAAGAAACAGTAAAAGTACTGTTTCAGAATTTTGAGGGATCAGTGAGAATCAGTTACTAGTTTTAAAATGTTTCATTTCAGTTTATAAAACATAGGAACTAAACTTAGGATTAGGAATGCATCGAGAAGAATGAAAAAGGCTTTCCTCATATACCATCAGAAATATAGATTAAAAAATAGAAATCCACAATTAATTTTTTCTCATAATTTAATTCAGTCCTGTATAATTAATTCTTATTACCCTGGACCTTGAATTATCAATTTGCTTTCATGTGATCTTATGCTCCTGAATATAAAAAAGATTCCAGTAAAAGCTTATTTCAGCCTTATGATGTGGTTTAAAAATTGTCTAATCAATGTCAGCTTAAGCTCCACATCCTGTACCTGTGAGTCTAATTCTTGAATTCAAATAGTTTAGAATACAAGGTATAATCTTTTACACAGGGCAGTGAAGACCTAGTTTCTATCCTGTAACTAAGAGCAGAGACTTTAGACAAACATTAGAGAAAAGCAGAAACTCTCAGTTGATCAAAAGACCGAATGGCTCTGGGTAATTTATTAGAGCCACCAATAGTAATAGAATGGAGAAAAGTAAAATTCTTTGTTTTGCTGGGGAGGAGTATGGTAATAACTATTGAGTTTTATTAAAATTTCTCCTGAGGATAAGATAATATAAAGAGAAATAGACTTGATTTTCTAGGAGCTTTCAATCCATTCTAAATGTACAATATATGAAACATCTTAATAACACTATGTTTATATTAAAAACATTAAAAGTTAACCTGGGGAAGGCTGCTTGAATATCTTTGATTTGACCATTCTTCCTATGCAGCTCTTACAATGTTGTCTAATTAGGAAACATGGAGAATACCAAACAAATGTAATTACATCTATTATCATTATTTTTATAAGCAAATAAATCTTTGTGATTTTCTAATGGCAATCTCAGAAATTTCAAAGACAGTTTTAGGTATGAAAAAATTAGGAAGAAACAACTCTTTTGAATTTAGGGTCTGACCTTGATAAAGCATAATCAAAATAGTTGTCAGAGGAGGTATGGTCACTTGATTAAAAAGTGGTGTCCAGTAGAAAGTGCTTAGATATCTATTAATCAGAGTGACAACCCAAGAGTTCATATAAAATAGGAGAAAATAGTAGAACTATAAGGAACCTGTTAAAAATAACTATTTACATGACATAAAACAAAATTATTCTGGTGAGATACTGAATTTCTGCCATCTGGACAGATTATACAGATGATAAGGAAATACCTTGTACTATTTCTGTTAAGAACAAATTAAATATTTCATAACAAGCTGCCATTTGTACAAGTAAAAATACTAAATTCTGATTTTACATCAATATAGTATTTGGCTCTAAAATATTCACAAATACATTTTTAAAATAATCTTATAAACTCACCAAAATAGAAAAATCATTTTAAATTTTTTAGACTTATTGTATTACACGTCTCATTACCCTGAAACACAGTTTTATTTTGCCATTACTATTAATTAAAATTCCTAACCAAATTAAGTAAATTCTATTTCAGACTGAAATGAGAGGTAATACAGAAGCTAGTTAGCAGCCTAAAAACTTAGACACACATAACAGAATCCCTAACAGTCACACTCATTTTCTTACACCTTCTTAAAGTGACAGAAATGAATAAGTTCATTAACATAAACCAAAGGTATAGTCATTCCATAATATAGGAAATAAGCAAAATTGTATGTGCATACAAGTGTGTATGTATGTATACATGCATGCTCACAAGTACGTACAGACCAGAGCCAGACTCATTTGGTTAAGAATCAGAAATAAAAACAAAATGCCAAAAACAAAAATGAAGACAAAAAATCCAGAGAAATAGAGAATCAGCTAAGTTATATTTCTGACATCACTTGGGAATCATTCCACAAGTCATGTGGGTACAATAAAAGACATGTCTATACTTAAACAGTTCAAGGGGAGCATCTGTTGGGCAAATACATTTCTTTGACTCTGGCAGATGAGTCTGCTTAGGCACCTCAATGGGGTTTTGAGAACTGTCAAAAATATTAAAAACATGAGTCTATACAAACATAAATTGAGAACATGTCAAACATTTGTTTAGCTCATTAATGAGTGAACAAGTTGTTAAAACTAGTTCAAAGAGTATTTGAAGACCTATATTTAGAGGCACTAAGAAAAAGAATGTTGAAATACTATTGCTAGCTTTGATGTAAAACCTACAAATGTACTATAAATAATTTGGGGTTTATCTTTTCAATCAAAAAATCATTTACATATCTGCCAAACAAAATCTATGTGTTAACATATAACTTCACAAAATCTAGAATTTTACAGTGAAGTGACTATCAAGTTAAACAAAAGTACATTCCCTTAGATAATAAAATAATTTTTAGGTTGGCCTCATATGAGCCACTTAATGAATGTTCAAATTTGACATTGAAAATATACATAGTTCTTCATTTTCTCTATTTAAAAGTTGTGAACAATTATTATTTAACTGATATATTAGCAATATTCTAGTAATATTTGTTATTAATGATCTTCACACCTCTTTTTAACAACAACATTACTTTTAACTAATTGTAATACAGATAATTTTTAATGTCCTGCATTATGTAATCAAGTGATTTTGCATACACTATAGAGAATAATGTTTTAGCCAAAATTTGAAGATCTCATATGAGTGCTAGTTTTGGTGAAGTGTGGTATTATGAAATCAAGCATTTTTTTTCTCCTATGGACTGTTTTTGCAACAACATTTCTTTAATTGTATTCATTGTTTCAGTAGAAGAGCTAAATTTACACTTTAACTTTTTATAATGAAATCTGATTTTTTTCTGATTGGTAGATGAATATTTTATTTAAATTGATGTTATTATTACAATATATTCATCTACAATACAATAGTATTACGGTTCTAGGTACTTTCACCATAGCATTTGTGTTGTAGACATCTTTGCTACAAGCATTTTTGCTGCAGACATTTTTGTCATATAAGTACTTGGCTGTAGGACAATTTTGCAATAACAAACATAAAATAACTGGTTGAAAGTTTTATTTTTTGATAAGATAACTGGTTGACAGTTTTAATTTTTGATAAAATAGCTGGTTGACAGTTGGAATTTTTTGTTTGGTTTCATTTCTCTGTTGGTAGAGTTCTTGCAATTACTCCCATTTTTATATTATATATATAAATCTTAACTAGCCCTCCTAATGGTCTGTACAGTGAATGATCAGAGGACATGTGGTAGTGATGTTCTTTAAATAGTTAGCATTTCTTCTTTACAAAGATTTGCCCCTTCTTTAAAATGATTTACAATGATAAGATTTAATTTCTTATTTTGAAACACACTGCATTGGGAAGAGAAGGAGAAGCCTACGGCCCTTTTTGAGGGTGCAGACTTGAACACATATTTCCAATAGAATGAAGCTAAATGCTTAGGTACAATCCAAAAATGAAATCAGTTATTTGTGCAGTATTGCCATGAATCTACACGTTTTAAATAGTCTTTTTAATTCTGTTATTCACTTTTTCATGTTTCATTATGTCTTTTTTAAAGTCTCTCTTTTTTTTTTGTCATGATTTCATCTCTTTTACAACAAAATTGTCTTATGGCCAATAAGTTATGCAGTGAAAATGTTTGGGGTAAAAGAGCTTATAGCAAATAAGTCTACAGTAAAGATGCTATGGCAACAGTAACAGACACAGCATATTATATTATCATTTATGTTATCTATACGAATAAGAAAGCAGTATTAACAATTAATAATATAATTATAGAATGTAATTAAAAACAATATTCTATACATCAATAATTTATCTAATAAGAGTTTAAAATTCGAATTAATCCTGAAAGTATTAATTCTGAGAGATACTATTGAAAGTTAAATTGACATACATTTTTTGAAAGTCTCAAGATTTGCTTGCTAAGTTCAAATTTGTTTCTATATAATGCATTTTGATAATACCACATGAAAATAATCAGAGTATCCATCACATCTTGCTCACCTGGAAACATATGGAATAAAAATATGACCTGAGGACTTTCTCCCCCTAGAAATCTAAAGGATAGTGGATCAAATCTCTATTCCAGAGTGTTTATCCTACTCTTTCTGCATATCCTGTTGTTATTATGATCCAAAGACAAAACCAAATCTCACCCTCAAAACCAAATCCTTTCACAAAGTATTGAATTTACTAATTTGGGGGCGATAATTAGGAAGGGCCACAAAAATTAATGCCATAAATTAGAACAATGTAAATTTGAACATTAAACATTTCTTAGAAGGTCTTTTAGCCATCTCACATTGGGAGTCTCGCATTGTCCTATTACCTCATATGATTACCTGTTACTCTTGCTTTTCTTTCTATTCATTTTTTCACATGGAAGTAAACTATTTCCCTTTGCTGCTCATACCAATGATTTTAAGATCTTGACCTTCCATAAGATAGTATTCAACCCTGACTGCTCATGAAAATTGCTTGGAACTTGCCCCCAGAGATAATGATGCCATGGTCTCAAGTGGATCCCAGACATGGTTATTTTTAAAATGCTCCTCAGATAATTCTTGAACTCAAGGAACCAATTAAATTATTTTTCCAGAAATTTGTCTTTCTAAGAGGACTTCTGGTGGTAGATGGTAAGAAAATAAGACTTCCGACTTCTTACATATGATTATATCTTTGCGATCGAAAGATACCTAGTTTATTTTACATTTATTTTAATGTACTCAAAGTTACTTTATTTGGGAGTTTTTATGCCTGTCCTTGGTAATATGAATTCTGGCATTTTCTTAAATTGTTCTTATGTATTATTAATGCACACAATCCAATGATTTGACTGACTTTATTTTTTACTTCTTTTTGTTTTCTTTTAGTTTTGTGTCAACTTTACTTGTAGAGAGATCAAATACCTGGTTGATTATAGGATATGCGACAATTCTAATCATTGCAATAACAGTGGAGTAAGTAATTTCAATTTTAATTTAAGCAACATGCTTTAAAAATTCAATAAATGGCTTGGAAATTTTAAACAAATTATTTGAGCTTTTCGCAATGGGTTTGCTGCCAGGGCACAGGTGTCATGAAAACCACCGCTAAATCTAAGCCAAATGGGAAAGGAAAAGACTCATATCAGTGCTGCCATCATTGGGCATGTAGATTTGGGCAAGTCAGTTTGGGCAAGTCAACCACTATTGGCCACGTGATCTACAAATGTGGTGGGACTGACAAAAGAACCATAGAAAAATTTGAAAAGGAGGCTGCTGAGATGGAAAAGGGCTTATTGAGGTGTGCTTGAGTCTTGGATAAACTGAAAGGTAAATGTGAGTGTGGTTATTACCATTGCTATTTCCCTGTGGGAATTTGTGACCAGCAAGTATTATGTCACCATCATGATTCCCTAAGACACACAGACTGTCAAAAACATGATTACAGGCACATCACAGTCTGACTGTGCTGTCCTGATTATTGCTATTGGTATTGGTGATTTTGAAGCAGGTATCTCCAAGAAAGGGTAGACCATGAGCATGCCCTTATGGCTTGTACACTGGATGTGCAACAAGTACTTGTTGGTGTTAACAAGATGGATTCCACTGAGCTGCTCGACAGCCAGAAGAGATACGAGGAAATCATTCAGGCAGTCAGCACCTACATTAAGAAAATTGGTTATAACCCTGACACAGTAGCATTTGTGCCAATTTCTGGTTGGAATGGTGACAACATGCTGGGACCACATACTAGTGTGCCTTGGTTCAAAAGACGGAAAGTTGCCCGTAAAGATGGCAGTGCCAGTAGAACCACTCTGCTTGAATCTTTTGATTGCATTCTGCCACCACCTTGTCCAATAGACAAGCCCTTGCGTCTACTCCTCCAGATGTCTATAAAATTGATGGTATTGGTACTGTCTCTGTGGGTCAAGAGGACACACTGTTCTCAAACCTGGCTTGGTGGTGACTTTTGCTTCAGTCAATGTTACAACTGGAGTAAAGTCTGTTCAACTGCTCCATGAAGCTTTGAGTGAAGCTCTTCCTGGGGACAGTGTGAGCTTCAGTTTCAAGAATGTGTCAAAGATGTTTGTTGTGACAGTGTGGCTCGTGACAGCAAAAATAACCCACCAATGGAAGCAGCTGGCTTCATGGCTCAGGTAATTATCTTGAACCATCCAGGCCAAATCAATGCTAATATGCACCTGTGCTGGATTGTCACACAGCTCATATTGCTTGTAAATTAGCTGAGCTGAAGGGGAATATTGATCATTGTTCTGGGAAAAAAGCTGGAAGATGGACAAAGCTTTTGGAATCTGGTGATGCTTTTGGAATCTGCCATTGTTGATATGGTTCCTGACAAGTCGTGTATGGTGAGTGCTTCTCTGCCCATCTTCCTCTGGGCTGTTTGGCTGTTCATGACATGAGACAGACAGTTGCTGTGGGTGTCATCAAAGCAGTGGATGAGAAGGTGACTGGAGCTGGCAAAGTTACCAAGTCAACCCAGAAAACTCAGAAGGCTAAATGAATATTATCCTCAATACCTGCCACCCCAGTCTTAATCAGTGGTGGAAGAATGGTCTGAGATCTGTTTGTCTCAAGTGACCATTTATGTTTATTTGTCAAAGACTGGTTAAAGAATACAATGCACCGTAAAACTCTCAGAAGGAAAGGAGAATGTTTTGCCTACCATTAGGTTTCTATTTTGTGTGTGGAAGTTTTTAAGTTATTAGTTTTTAATGGAAACAACTTGACCAAAAATCTGTCATGAATTTTGAGACTCATTAAAACAAAAACATAATGAGAAACCTATGAGTCCTTTTGCTCAACACTATAACTTCGTATAGTAGTACCTAGATAAAAGACTTAGTAAGAGTTGCCCATGACTGATTTCTGATGTTTCATCTACTGAAACTTTAGAAATTGATAATTCTGGCTTAACATTTGTTTCTGGGAGGGAACTTTGGGATTTTTCACCTTGTCTTAAAGGGAGGAATCATCTGTTTACATACTTAAAAGCTATGGAGGGGGTCTTTTGGTGCCACACTTCATAGGTTAGGACAGATTAGCAAAGAGTCACTTTGTTTATGTGTAAGCTAGTTTATAAAGGTCAAGTTCTGTAATATTAAAGTCCACATGTTGCATGTAAAATTTTGTGCACTTCCATCAATACAGGGAAAATTTGTTACATCAAATTTTAGTTTTCCAGTTACTGGAATGTGAATTCTCACATTTACAAATACTGAGGTAGTTTAAAGAACCTAAAAAGAGGCTTAAATAGTATTGAGCACTGTCTTGTATCCAAATTCTAGGAAAAATAAATGATACTGGAAGTTGAAAAGATAAATCAGTTGAATGATTTTTTAAATCATTTTTACAGTACTTGGTGTCATTTAACAGTCTATAATTTTATTGTCTTAAGAAATCTTGCCAAACTATTTGTTAGGAAAGATAAAGTAGAAACATTTAAGATTCTGGATGTATAAAATGCTTGGTAAATATGAGGGGTGGTTGTGCTGCAAGCACCATGTGTTACCATGTAACCAAAATGATTTTATTTTTATAGAGGAAAAGCAGAAACTGGTAAGTAAAGGTTATTAGAAATTTCTTGCTAGTCTTGCTTGTTAATTTAGAGTTTGGGCTGTTCCGTGAAGGTGACAAATAAATGATAATTAGTAGCATGTTACAGGTAATTGCCAATATTTCAGTTTGACTGTGTGGGGAGACTTGAAACAATTTTAAAAAAATTGTTTTGGCAACAGAAGCTAGATGTACTTTCTAAAGTATGGGTAATTTCAAGAGAAAATTTGTCAAAATTTGTTGACAGTGTCTAAGATAAATTCTCTAGGAAGGATAAATTCTCTGGAGCAAATTATCTGTTGATCAACTATAGAATACCCATTGATCTCTATTGAAAACCATCTTTGTACAATAAGAAAGGTACTATTTTCTGATTTTTCCAGATTTGCAACAATTTTAACCATTGCCATTGTAAAGAAGGGTTTGCACCTCCTGATTGCCAAGAAATGAAAGGAGAATTTGGAAGTATCGATGATGGACATTCAATTATAACAAGTTAGTGTCTTTAAAATTGTATTAATAAAAGATAATATGTAAGAGAATAAAATTAAACTATAGATTACATGCAAGATTGCAAAAACACTGATGTCAACAAACACAGCTTTATTTTATTTGTAAGATTTAAAAATACCTTGGGCAGTATAACTTTGTATTGTTCTATGTATATTAACATTGACATTGTTTACTACCACAAAGCATACCCATTATTAGGCACTTTTAAAAGTAGAAATTCCTGTGCAAAGTATTCGACTGATTAATTTAGATGGTTCACCTTAGATTGACACATATATTTCTGGTTTAAAATAGTGTTAGTAATCATTATATTAATGCCACTAGAATCTTTCAGGCTGTCTTTTATTACTTTCTCCTGCACTGTAAGGGGTTCCAACTTAATCTTTTGAAATTTCCTTTTTAGAATCCCTTTCCCCGCCACTTTCACCCCTCGCCAGGGGTCCTGAGCAGTATTTTGAGATCCAGCAGGCCTGGATGAGACTGGGAATTGCTGGGGGATACTCCCTGTTCCACAGTGTCTTGGAGCCCACCTTAAATAACCCAGGAGCAGAAGAGGGTGGTCCTTCCTAACCCCCTTTCCTTTTGGAGGCAAATAAAGAATGAAACTCTATCTGTAGCTTGACTACTAGTGGGGAGTCATACCCAGGGTGACCAACTTTTGAGAGAGCTAACACAAAGCTGTATCAGACTGTGTAGCAGACCAAAAAAAGCACAATAATTTAAGATAGAATATATAATTATACACATACATTATTCTTTTCACATAAATATGTGGTAAAATAGGTATTTGAAATGATCTATTATTCTGATTGTTTAATTTTCTCTTACATAAATGCTGTTATTTAAACAAAACAACAATAGAACTAGTTAACAGTGTTAGTTGAAAGTAGTTTATAATACAAGCAAATAATAACTGTTAGCAAAAAATGTAACAATATTTTATGATGAGAATATATTATAATGTATCCTCTGATATATCAATTTATTTTACTCTTTTTACATACTCTTTACTGGATACTTCTTGTATGTTCTAGAGATACATAATGTAAGACTTTTAAAAATGGAGAATATAAAACTAAAATGAATAATTAACCATATACCTTATATTTAATAAAACATAACAATGACAGGCTTCTTTCTGTCCACTGATACAGTCGGATGTATCTTTGGCTCTTTCTGTTTTGTTTCCAGTTATACTTCTCTGAACTTCTTGTCACCTTTAAGACATCCCTCTTTTAAGTAGTAGCAAAACAAATAGAGTCAAGTGTAAAATTCATTTGGACTTGAAGTTTCACTCTTATCCCGCTCACATTTACTAAATTCTGATGTCAGTCCATTGTGATAGCATCAAACTAAGTATCTTCTCAACACAAGCATTCGAGCATGGGATACTTGGGGTTTCATTTACTAGACACAGCAGATTTTTAGACTTGTAGAAATTATTTTCAGATCTCCAAAAATGTTCCTTCACTATATTTCTATAGGCTTGTACTGGTAGACCTGATATTTGTTAATCAGCTCCTTTGCATACTAATATTCATCATATATAAGATGCTCATTATTTTTTTATTGACTATAATTGACATACAATATACTGATAGTTTCAGGTGTATATCATAGTGATTTGATATTTATATACTTTCCAAAATGACCCCCATGATAATTATAGTTACCATGAGTCACAGTTATTACAATATTATTGACTGTATTCCCTACCTACACTGTACATTATATCCCCATGATTTATTTGTAACTGCAAGTTTGTACTTTTTAATCCCCACTCTGGCCTTTCCCCTCCCTGGTAATTACCAGCTTGTTTCCTGTATCTGTGAGTCTCTTTCTGATTTGTATTGTTTGTTTTGTTTAGATTTCACATATAAGTGAGATCATAGGTATTTGTCTTTATCTGACTTACTTCATTTAGCTTAGTACCCTCTAAGTCATTCATGTTGATACAAATAGCAAGACTTCAGTTTTTTGTATTCCATTGTATATATGAGTAATATTCCATTCTATATGTATCTATCTATATATACATATAGATAGATAGTTGCAGGCAGATTGATAGATATACTTAGGTTGCTTCCATATCTTTGCTATTTAAATAATGTTGCAGTGAACACAGGGGTGCATATATCTTTTCAATTAGTATATTTTTTTTTTGGCGAGGTAGGGGGCGGATAAATACCCAGAAGTAGAATTGCTGGATGGTGTGGTAATTCTATTTTCAATTTTTTGAAGAACCTTCCTACTGCCTTCCTACTGTTTTTTTTTTTTTTGGGTCTGTTTTTTGTTTTTGTTTTTGTTTTTTATAGAGGCCGCACCATTTTACATTCCCACCAAAAGTATGTGAGGGTTCCCTTTTCACTACATCTCACTAACAGTTGTTACGTTTTGTGTTTTTACTAATAGCCATTCTGACAGGTGTGAGTTGATATCTTATTGTGTTTTTGCTGTGCATTTCCCTAGGTAGTCTACCCCATCCCGTGGCTCTGGATAGAGGCCCCACGGCTGAGGCATTGTCCTGGGGCAGCCTGGCTGGGTGAAACCAGTAAGGGAGTCTCACCCTCTAAAACCAAGGAGGAAACATGTAACATATAAATACACACATATGTTATTATTTTCTCATAAATAATAACAGAAACCATACTCAATGTTAGGCACTTTAAAGTAGAAGACAATCTCCTTCACTCAGTCTACTAACTTAAATGTTAATATCATTTCAGAATGTCCTCAAGAAACAGCCAGAATAATATTTGACTAAATATCTGGGCATATGTGGCCCAGTCAAGTTGACACATGAAATTAACCACCACACACATTAATAGTATTTGTTAGCAGAAAGGTACCAGGCGTCACTCTCTCTAAAATGGTTTTGGCAGGATATACTTAACTGTTTACATAGATTATTCTAAATAAACCTGGAATTTATTGACTTATGGTAGGATAGTTAGTTGGAGAAACTAGATAATCATTTAAGCTGTGTTTTTTACAGTAGAAAACTGAGATAGCTTCATTCATGAGAAATATTGTTTCTACTTGACACAAAACTCTCATCTGTTTTTTCTGAAATCAATTTGAATGTGTGAGATAAAAAAGGAATGAAAACTTTTGGGAGCTGAAGAATTCAGGGTCCTCCAGGGAAAAATGCTTTGTTCTATACCGGATGTTTGACTAAAGTTTGGTATGGGTAAAATGTATGTTTTGGGGAGTCTAATTTGACAATTATGCCCTGGAGTAATAAAGGCTAAGACAATTTGGGATAATAAAAGGGAGGAGGTGAAAATCCAGGAATAGGTAAATGCCTGGATGATTCCTCCAGGCATCTTTGAATGAAATAGCAGCAACTTTGACGCAGATAACTGGAGGCTAGTTTCAACCAATGGAAAATGGAGACCCAGAGTAATTAATTAAATACAAAGAGATGGAACCTGAGGAGCCACATAGATCAGATGCCCAGAAATGGCTACAGAGGTGAGTTGAGAATAAATAAGAACTGATGAAAGAAATGTAGAGCCAGTTAGTCAAAAATGGGTTAATTCCAGGCTTAGTCATGCATTGTATAAAATAATCCTAGAGCCATTTTGATAATTTCCTGTTGCGATGTATTTGATTAAAGAACTTAGTGAAATAAGTTATTTAGTGACTACTAATATTTAATTTTTAGAAAAAAATTGCAGTAATGTAAGGGAGCTTAAATACAATTTTCCCCAGGTTTAATTCTCGCATATAGGTACAGTCTCAACAATCTCTGTGATATACATGTTTGAACTTTGGAGAAGCTGTACCAGAAAGGAATTGAAGAAATGTTTGCAAGTGTTAAACATGTACTTCATGAAAGAATATTACCTTTGATCAAAGAAATCACCATGTAGTGGAAGGTTCAAAACTCAGAATCATCAGCAAAGCACTAGTCACAGCTCCTTTTCTACATTAGTTTAGTTATTTTGGATTTTATTACACATATAATATATATGAATGAAATGCTTTATGTTCAAGAATATCATTGGTAATGATTTCCGGCCCACCTTGTCATTTGGGTAATAAAAGCTACGACATACTTTGAAATGGGTATTTTCCATTCTAGCTAAGAGTTCTTTGGAGAGAAGATTGACCACTTCTCCGAAACGCCGATTTCAACTCATTTTCTACATTTCTTTACCTGTGCTCATCATCACTGCTGCTGTTTTAATAAAGCAGGATAAAATAAGGGAGCTTTGCTACAGAAGTGATACTGAAAGCGAGAGGTATATATATATGTGTGTGTAAATATGTATAAGAATATATATTTACTCTTAGTCAACATTCCAAAAAAAAAAAAAAAGGTATTCGGATTTCATCAAGAACAATCTAAGACTGTAGGTAAAGCAATATGAGGAGAGCCCCAGGGACACATTTCAAACTGGGCTGGTGTCCTTTATGTTTTTTCTACTTTTACTCATTACTTAAGCCATTCATTTTACCACTGGTATTACTTTACAAGGACACATGGGTGCACTGGATATTGTGGTTTATTCAGCCTCTTAGTCAACTGACCCTGTCTGAATAGTTATATTGTCCACAGGCTTCAGGAGAATAGGTAACACTGCATTTCAAGGCCACTTTCAAATAATAAGTTTTTAGAGACAGAGTCTCAGACCAGTGGTAAACAAGTTTATTAAGGTCCTTCCCTCAACTAGAGATAATATCTTTGAAGCTGCCACCATAATATTTATTTCCTAAATATTTATATTGCTACTTTGTAAAGTCATCTCTTAACTAAAAATTACATGTGTAGGTCATAATATCAGGTTAGGAGACAGGAGGTAGCATCATGAAATGGAGACAGAATTACATTTAGCCTCTGAAAACCTGGTTTTAACTCCTAAATCTTGCGTGTAAGAACTATGATCTCTTAAACAAGTGATTTAATATTTATGTCTTAAAATTATTCTCTATAACTCTATAAAATGGGAAATAACAATAGCTCTCCGATGTATCATAAACTTTTAAGTACACCAAATTAATAAGTGAAATCATCATATTATCTGTAATCAGTTAACATAAATATTTAAACATCATTATTAAGACTCTTATTCGTATTTACTGTATTTTTCCACAGAAGTATTGATCTCTAGTTTTAGCTTCCAACAATTGATAGGAAGAGAATACATGAGTATGTGTTATGAAAAGGAAGAAGGAAATATGTAAAGAAATATAGAAAATTCAGCTGAAATTTTTGAGAGCCACTTACTGGTTTTGGCTTAATTTGACCTGAGGCGTTAGGGATATCATAGAATCAGGGGTCCTGTCTGTATAAATGTGGACTTTTAACCTAAATACTTGATTAAATGTAAAATGAAGATGAGAGATGTAAACCAACAAAGCAAGGTGGCTGATGGCCCCTGTTCTAATATTGAGACAGTATCTGTTTTGTATTTTGTGGAAAGCAGATATTTTATTTCATCTAGTGAATCATTCTGTTTCTTTTTCTATGTATCAAAATGTACTTTATTATTTTCAATTACACTTGACATTCAATGTTATTTTATAGTAATGTCAAGAATACAGCAAAGTGGTTAGACATTTATATAATTTTCGAAGTGATCCCCTTGCCAAGTCTAGTACCCACCTGGCACCGTACATAGTTATTACAATATTCTTTGAAAAACATTCTTCATTCAAATAGTCACTGAACTGTTTAAGATTTTAAAATGTCCCCAATTTAAAATAAGTTGTATCTATTTTACAGGTCTGTGTCAGAAGAAAGCATCAGTAATAGCAAGTTATCCTCCAGTGTAAGGTGAGTGTACATCAATGCAATTAATCATTTCGCATTGTATGTTTTCATCATTGTTTCAGAGCATTTAACAATTAATTTGAAATCAAAACACCTGTTCGTATTATTCTTTATGGTTCTTGTTGTAGGTTATTTTACAATACTTAACAATAAAACTTGATTTCATGATATCTCATCCTCTCATTCTTGAACTACAGTAAAGGAGTGACTTTTGTGTACCTTTGTTAACATCTGTGAGCACATAATTTATGGGGCTTTTTTTTTTTGAGCATTGGTAAGGAGCACTTCTATCTTGATGACATTTTACTGCCACATAAAGAGAGGACTGATACATTGGATACCATATGTGCTTATAGCTATACCGTTATCTCAGAATAAAATTGCTGTTAATAAGATAGTCTTCGAATTGTCATTGATTTTACTGCATTAATTCATCTGGGTAAGTAAATTTAGAGATCAGAGTATGGAATAATCAAACACAACATTTTATAAAGTTAGATATTCCTACTTTATTATAGTATATAAAAATTTCCCTTACAAATGTTAGATAGAATATAAAAAGAGAATATATCAAAAGCATCATGATTACTTTTCAAGTTCTCTCTTCATCCTTGCAGTACAAAATTGTACAGTGACTATGATATTTTGTGACAAATGTGGAGCTACATGTCTGAACTGAGGGAATTCCTATTTTTAAGAGAGGCATTATTAAGTATACATAATACTCTCTTAATCCTATTGTCAAAGCAGACTGTTTTAGGTTCTACAAAAATGGGTATATGTCTGCTTTTGAGGTAAGAGTATACTTTAATATTCTTAATCACAATAAAATGTATATTATAGGACAGAGAATGACCAAATGTAAGCTAGAGAAAGAACTCATTGCCCTCAAAGACAATGGATGAAAAGAAATAAGGAAGGAGCAGAAATAAATGAAAAGAAAAATAATAGAAAAAATAACAAAAAAAATCAAAGGAAAAAGCTGATTCTTTGAAAAGATTCATATAATTGATAAAAATTAGCCAATAGTTGAAAATAAAAAAGAGAAAATATAAATGACCAATATCAGGTAATACAATTGCATAGTTTTGACCCTTTGGACGTTAGAAGAATGAAGAATACCAGCAACAACTTGAAATCAATAACTCTATATATGAAATTTATCTATATAGTATGGTACTGGTATAAGAGGATAAATACCAAGGGAACAGAATAGAGAGCCCAGAAATCAACCCATACATATATGATCAACTGATCTTTGAAATGGGTGCCAAGAATACACAATGGGAAAAGATCTCTTGAACAAATGATGTTGGGAAAACTGAATACCCACATGCAAAAGAAAGAAATTGGACCCTCACCTTAGACCATATGCAAAACTCAATTCAAACTGGGTTAAAGACATAAATGTAAGACCTAAAACTATAAAACTCATAGAAGAAAAGATAGGGGAAAAACTTCTATGACATTAGTCTTGGGAATGACTTTTTGGATGAACATCAAAATTACACGAAACAAAAGTAAAAATTAGACAAGTGGGACTATATCAGCTTAAAAACTTCTGCAAAGCAAGGGCAACATTCAAGAGATTGAAAGTTATCCTACAGGAGGGGAGAAAACATTTGTAAGCCACATATCAGGTAAAGGTTAATTGCCAAAATATAGAAAGAATTCCTACCGTGGATATGAAAAACACTGATAACCTGATCCAGTAATCCCACTTCTGGGTCTTTTCCCCAAATAATTGAATTCAGAATCTCAAAACATGTTTAGCGTTACCCTGTTTACTGCAGCACAATCTACAACAGCCAAGATGTGGATACAGAGTAAATATTCATCAGTGAATGAGTGGGTAAAGCAGTGTGTACATACAGTGGAATGTTGTTCAGCCATAAAAAGGGAGGACATGTATGCATATGTGACAACGTGGATGAACCTTGAGGACACTGTGCTAAATGAAATGAGGCAATTACAGAAGGACAAATAGCTACATGATTCCACTTATATGCAGTATCTAAAATAGTGAAACTTATGGAAGCAGAGAGTAGAGTGGTAGATGCCTCAGACTGGGGGCAGGGGGAGATGGGAGTGTTTCTAATCAACGAGAATAAAGTTTCGATTATGCAAGATGAATAAGTTCTAGAGATCTACTGTACATTTTCACTATTAACAATATTGTACACTTAAAACCTTGTTAAGAAAGTAGATGTCATTTAAGTGTTACCACAATATGATAAGTTTTTAAAAATTGAAGAAGTTTTGCTTCCCAAAAGAATTTGTTATGAAAGGGAAAAGGGGAGAGAAAAAAAATGGCGTAGATGATAGAGGCTCTGTTCATCCTCTGGCAACCAAATCAAAGTTGTGACAGAAACAAGGAGCAGCAGCAAGAAAAAATCACCTGGGATGAACAAGCCATATAATTAGGGAGAAATCCAAGAAATCACCCTGCAACGGCAGAAATTAGGACGGGACGAGGATGTGGGGCTGCCCAGTCTCAAGCGGCCCGAGTGAGATGGAGGCTGCCACAGTAGTGCCAGCAGTGGCAGAAGACTCTTAAAGGGGCCACGTCTGTAAGCAGATTTTCACAGTAATGGACCTGCTCACGCTGAGCACCAGTGCTGATTCCACTGCTTGCAGGGGCACCAGGGACTTACAGGTTGACATTGTTGCAGTGAGGGCCAAGGTGAGACTCGCTACCTACAGGAGTGTTAGTGGTATCCATTGTTCCCTGTTGAGCCCTCCCCTCTCCCAGTGTGCGAACACAGTGCTGCCATAGCCCAGACATCATCAAACTGGATAATAGAGGTCACTCTGCCCAAAGGATTCCCTGAAACCCCACCTCCTCCAACTTGTAGCCCCACCCAAGCCATATCCAGGTACATCCTCAGCGAGTCAGGTGCTCCTTGCTGACCTAGACTCTCACTTTAGGTAGCAGTGCCTAGACTCTCATTTTAGGTAGCTGGCCTCGGTTTCTGATGTGGCCTTTTGAGGCAACTATAAGCATGGCATCTGTGGATTGCTTGCTGAATCTTAACAGGTGGCTCCAGAGGGGCACAGGCTGGGGCTAAATTTGGCCTGCAGCTGAACTCCTCTCAGGACTGTGCCACTGGACACCTACTGCACAAATCCACACTAATAAGACCAGGAGATTTAGGAGCTTTGCTTAGTACATAGAAACCGACATGGAAAGATAGTCAAAATGGGAATGAAAAAAGGAAAAGCCATATGAGAGAACAGAACAGAGATCCAGATATAATGGAGTAAATCTAATAGATGCAGAGTTCAAAGCACTGGTTATAAAGATGCTCAATGAACTTTTGGAAAGTGTAGAGAACTTCAACAAAGGGATAAAAAAACATAAAATTGGAAATGCAAATTATAAAAGGGGACTAGTCTGAAATGAAGTACACATTATCTGAGATGAGAAGTATATTAAATGGAATAAAGAAAGGAATAAACAAAGTGCATACAGGAGAGGATCAAATGCCTTATCTAAAGGATGGGAAAGCCAAGGACACACAATCAGAATAGCAAGAGATAAGATGCCAAGACTTTAAAAATAATTTAAGGAGAATATGGGACACTACTAAGGGTCCAAATATCTGTCTAATCGGTGTAACTGAAGAAATCAGGATGTTGAACAGCTGCTTGAAGAAATAATGATGACAA